AAGAAAAAAGGCCAACACTTGATACGCTATCAAATGAGTTTTGGGAACCGTATTGATCCATACCGTAATTCATTTCCGATTGAAACAATCCTTCTCAAATTGGCCCTCGGTGGAGCATGGCTGATCTCAAAACGATAAGCAGGGTCAGGTCAGGTCAGATTACAGGTTAGATTACAGGCGAGGACTAGCAAATCCCAGGGGCTGGTTGGAAGAAGATCCTGAAGAAGGCAATATTTATTTATTTATTTACCAATTTGTTTAGTGTCAAATTATTTGCTCTGTATTACTTTTATTCTTCTCATCCTTCCTAGTACCTATCTCTTTCCACTTATGACTATAACCATGTTGCTTGTATCTTTACAATTGATATTGTTTTCTTTGTTTCCTAGTATGATTTGATTGCTTATTAGTAACCCATGACTATCACTAAGTGTTNTGAGCCGGTGAGATTTGAACAGCCGAACTGCAGAACTGCAGTCAGCTGAAGTAGCCTGCAGTGCTGCATTTAACCACTGCGCCACCTCGGCGACTGGTTGGGCATGGAGATAAGGTTTGTGTTGATAAATATTCCTCTGAAAGACTGTTTGCCAAACCTTGCTCTTCATGCTTGTTAAGGAAGCCTAGGTCAGAAGACTTGTGTCCACCCCGTTTACCATACCTCATCATGGCCAAATGTCGGAAGCCTGCTGTGACTATAGTCGATGGGAAGAGATGGAAAGATAACACTAATGAAATGGGCTGAATGGATGGCAAAAATGAACCCAAGTTAGTTATTGCTTGTATGCTTGTAGCACAAGTAACTTGACACTCCATCCAAAGCTATACAAACATTTGTCTTACCTCGAGCTTCACATCCTTGTGCCATATAAGGAGTTGATTCTCATACATTTCTTACTAGCTCCAGGTTTGTTCCAAAATTGTGCTACTGCTAACCGTGCTACTTCTCAGGCATATATTCCAAGTCTCTCTTTAAGAGTTTAAATTGTGAGGTCATAGATGTTCTTGTGACAATTCTAGCATATTCGCTTGAGCCCATGGTAGAGTACATGGTTAGGAAGCATTTCCCCATATAAAAAGATGTCCCTTATTGGCTCCAGACTGAACTTCTTAAAAAAAAGATCAACTTACAGAGTTATTGGAACTATTGGAAAATTATAGTCGTTGCTATTGAAACTAACCAGTTGTAAGACTAGTATTACTTCAGGCAGTCAACAGTGTATAGCAGGGGTGTCAAACTCAATTTCATTGAGGGCCGCATCGGGGTTGTGTTTGACCTTGGGGGAGCATGGCCAGCTCAACGTCACTAGTATCGGGGTGCCTGTGGTGGCAAAGAGCTCTGCCAGCGAAAACAGGCTCCCGAGCTCCGTTTTCACCTGCAACCCTCTGCCAGTGAAAACGGAGCTTGGGAGGGCTGCCTGGGCCCTTGCAAGCTCCATCTTCACTGGTAGAGGCACTGCGGACCGGCCCTTGTTTTTCAGGGCAGCTCCGTGGACCAGATCCAACTACCCTGCAGGCCAGATCCGACCCCCGGGTCTTGAGTTTGACACCCCTGGTGTATAGCAAACCTGTACCACAAATTGCTTCCACTGTTAAGCAATTATAGCAATATAATAGCAATAGCAGTAGACTTATATACCGCTTCATAGGGCTTTCAGCCCTCTCTAAGCGGTTTACAGAGAGTCA